ACAAAAAAAAAAAAAAAACTCGATCATGGATTACAAGAAAAGAAAACAAACATTTCGATCATGGGTTACAAAAAATTCTATTATGGGTTACAAAAAACCAAAAAATTCGATCATGGATTACAAAAAAACAAAAACAATTCGATCATGGATTACAAAAAAATCGATCAAGTATTACAAAAAAATCTATCATGGATTACAAACAAACAAAAAACAAAAAAAAAAAAAAAAAATACCGTACGAACTCGCCGATTCACTGTTCGGACTCGCCGATTCCGTACAGTGAATCAGCGATTCACTGTACAGAATCGTCCTGTTCTCTCTAGAACCGGACGATTTCCGATTTTTTAGGCGATCCGGTCCCCTTTTACGATTTCCGAGTCAAACCGGGCGAGTCCGGTTCGACTCGGCGTTTTTTAAAACGCTGGTACTACTTAACGTTGATATCCACCTTCCAAGGTACTATTTAGTGTTCATATCCACCATGCAAAGTACTATTTATTGATCTGCACCATCCAGTTAACTATGGCCTTGCCGACACAACAATTCAATGGTCTTGCCGACACAACCATCCAGTTAACTGAGAGAAGCAGCTTTAATGGTCTTGCCGACACAACAATTCAACTATGGCCTCCCATAAAAACTCATCTTAGATATGGATTTTGGACCTAAAATTTCACAGGTCGATATCATAACAATCGTGCCGCTAAAAAAAAAAAAAGGGTTTGAACTTTCTTTATAAGAAGGCTGAAATTTTGTTTTTGGATCGCTCATTATTTTTCGTTTTAATTATGCACATACCACTGAATCTGCACTATCTTTTGATATGCAAAATCATCGATCTAAAGAGAAAATGCATCTAACATGACCTAGAAAAACGTGTTTCAGTTCCAAAATCTATATCTAAAATAGATTTTTGAAAATCGACCGCATTTAATACAATATTTTTTAAAAAAGTTTTCCCATTGGTATTTCCTCTTTATATGTACCATATATAATCCATCTCTGCTCATATTTTCCTTCATAAAAACCTTATATTTAACACTAAAGAATTATATTTTACTAGAGGAGTAGAGGCTTTGTACCTTAATTTTTTTCCTTTTATTTATTTTGGTAAGTGTGCAAGAACACATTGACAGCCACCTTTACGTATATCAAAGGGTACGGCCACCTCTACGTATATCAAAGGGTACGGTTTGTATAGAGCCGAGGCTCTAAACAATTAAAATAAAGCACACCTTCAAATAGTATTGAGCAATGGTTTAAAAACGGATCGGTGACCCGGATCGGGCACCCAATAAACCTATTGGGAATCGGGTGAATCGGTCAGAATAAAACTTCAAAAAAATCAGAAAAAATTATTAGAATTCATTATAAATATTGTTTTTTAGGAATTCAATAATAAATGAGCGTACTCCATTAAGAATTTTCATGTTTTTGAATGAATATGCCAATATTGATATGTTCTTTTCCTGCATGAACCGCCATTCAGCATTTAATTTACATCACACAAAAGGATAAACATAGAATTATCATGGAATAAGTATATCAACATACATGGACTACAATAAAGCATAAAATTAGTAACATACGATCTAAAAATAAAATGATAGATGACATTGTTGTTCTTCTTGGTCACGCTGGTGCCATTAATTGAATTCGTTTGACAATTCATTGATTCGATCTAAAAACGAATCATCGATATTAGCAGGCGTTTGACTATTCCCAAATCCCTGAGTGTTAGTGTTTTGTTGTGTTCCCAATCCAAAATCCTCGAAGCTTGTCCATCCTTTATGCTCACCTGCACTGTCGTGCTCAGCCCTACACTGTTGCTGTTGGGACTTGATATGTGAATAATATGGCTGGGATAGGGTGGCTTCAGAATCATCATCTCTCTCATTTTCTCTTAGACCCCCTTTTCACTCTCCCTCATTAGGTGCAATATCACTGACATCTCCGACGAATTGTGTATACGTTGGCTGACTGCTTCCTCTTTCATGCTGCTCATCACTTTCTTCAAGATCTTCATTACCGATAGCCTAAAGGAACGCTCTCTTGTGCAACACTGGCTCTTCCTCTTCTACTACCCATTGGTTTGCTATGTTT